AAATCTTGTACTAAATGAGGAAAGTGATTTGACCCCAAAATATAATGAAAACCTTTAAAGTTTGAATTTTTTCCTATCTTTTATCGAGAATTTAGGCTGGAGGTGGTAGGTTTGGTCATTCACTAAGCATTTGTGGAAAACCTATTGTATGCAGTCATTGTGATAAATTTACAGGGATTACAGAGATCTATCAGAGAGAAGTGGGAGATGATGGGTTGATAAACAATAATAATTACACAGCAATGCCAGATCTAGGGAGTGCTTCACTGAGGGCATTAATAAAGGGCTGTAGTTGAGAGACATGTAACGGCTAGGTGTGATCAGGGCCTCGAAGGACTAGTTCAGTCTCCATTGGCAGATTTGGTGGGAAGAATATAGGGTAATCTAGGCAGAGAGAAATTCATGAGGAAAGGTACAGTCAGGAAAATGTAAACTATGTGGTACACAGAGAGGGGGTCATGAGGAATGAGACTGGAAAGAGTGATCACGGGCAATCATGGAGGCCCTCCAATACCATGCTACAGAATTAGGAACTTACTTGCTAGTCAATAACATAATCATGAATATCTTCAAAATGGATCAGAGAAAGATATCCACAGTAAAATCAGAAAATAAAGAGCTAAATCAACCAAGTGATTCTCCAAGTTCATGATGCAGGAAGCTCTTTTGCTCAGTCAAGAGACACTTACCTATTTAGAAAAAAAAAAATAGATGAAAGCTTTTTGCTATCATTATGTGTTTTTTAAATTTGGAGATTGTTTTCTAGTGGGGTCTTGAGAAGACCCAAAGATTAACAAAATAATGCATGTGAAAGAGCTTTGCAAGCAATAAAGTCCTATTTTTTGTATTTATTTTTAAAATTCCAGTGTAGTTCCCATACAGTGTTATGTTAGTTTCAGGTGTGCAACATAGTGATTCTATACATCACTCAGTGCTCATCTTGGTAAGTGGAATAAAGTCCTATTTATCTCTTTCATTTCAAGTAACATGAAACAATAATTTACATGAGCAGAAGAATAATACAACATTAAGGACATGGAATAGAAGTATTTTATTGTATAAAAACTAATAATATTCTTGAGGACAAAGTAAGAGACGAGGAGAGACAGGATGGCACGCAGGGAGGGAGATGGAAGGAGGGAACAGGGAAGACAGAAGGAAAAAGGAAGGTGGGGGAGAAAGGAAGGCAGCTGGATGGGAGTAGACAAGGTCCATAGAGAGAGACACGGGGTGGGTAGTGGTGAGGTACACAGCCGGCAGGGACTTCAGAAGAGCCCTCACCTGTTCACTTACCTCTGCTGACAACTTCTCTTCTTCCATCACTGGCACTCCCTCCAAGCTTCTGAGCTGGCTTTCTTTCTTTCTTTCTTTCTTTTTTTAAAAATTTATTTTCTGAGCTGGGTATTTCTTGCTCCTCTCCAAATCAAGGAATAGAGAGTACCTAGGGGTTCGATTTAGGTCATAGTTCACCTGATGACCAGACTCTCAATAGCCTATGAACGGATAGCAATCTTAGGAATCACCTACTTTTGCAAAAGGTTTCATAGATGTATGATTTTATTGCAAAGAAATTTCAGTTCTCAAAGTGTCTTCCTGTCTATTACCTCCTATGAGCTTTCCAGTTATATAGAAGGCACATCCTTATTCTCACTGGACAGATCAGAAGAGGAGAAATGGTTGTAAGGCCTTCCTGAGTAAGTGATATCCATCTCCCCAAAGACTGTCTGTGGCCATTATGATGTCACACTGGTAGAAACTTAAGGATATGAGTGGATCAGTTGTCTGGAGAATGGGTGGAAACTATCTCAAGTCTTGGTAAAACAATCAGTGATTACAGAACCTATTCCTGTTTTTTCTTTGGGGGGAGTACAGTTTATTACAGTGAAAAGGGTACTGGGTTAAATCAGAAGATCTGAGTTTTAATAGTAATAATGACATTATTAGCTAATGAAAATAGCTACATGTAGTCAATGCTTCCGCCAAACACTGCCCTAAACCCCTGGCTGGCGTTAATCCCTTTCCCTTCCACCATGACTGTGTGAGGTCAGCACTGTTTTTTGGTAAGTGATATAACGAAGGTTTAGAGAGCTTCAGTGATTTGGCCAAGTGTTTTAGTTCAGGCTCTGTATCACTCAAACTATTTATAACCTCTTTGGGCCTCTTATTTCCTTATCTGTAAAATCACTACGATGATTTGAAAAAGAATGGAGATTGAATTTATGAATCAAAGACAGACAGCCTGTTAGACAATGTCAGGGGTTGCTCAACTTTTTCTGTAAAGGACCAGATACAAAATATTTTCGGCTTTTCAGGCCACACCGTCTCTGCTGTGGCTTCTCAGCTCTGCTGCGGTAGAGCGAGGTCGGCCGTGAGCACACGGAGGATGAGCGCGGCTGCGTTCCAGCCCAACTTTATTACGGACACGGAAATCTGACTTTCATATCATTTCCACATGTCACAAAATATTACTGTTCTTTGTTTTTTTCCAACTACCTAAGAATATAAAAATTATTATTAGCTTGCAAGCCATTCAAAAACAGGCAGGGGGATGAATTTGGCCTTCTACGTCCACAGAAGATCTTCCTAGAAAACAGGTGCATCTATAAGTTAGACATGATTGATAATATTATTTGTAAATGACTGGAAAGAAATATCTTTGAGTAGAAGAAACTGTTTCATCTGTTCTCATCAATAACCACAGACTCTGCAGTGCCTTATACTTCTGACATGCACCATGTTAGAAGGACCTGCTGGAACACATAGGAGTCCATATATCCTGGGACTAGATGGGGTGGATTCCTTAGAAGCTAAGATCAAATCGATCCCAAAGGCAAGCCCAGAAAAAAATTTCTAGGTAAAGAAAGCAATGTTGCTAAATTCAGAAAGAGTTGGTTTTTTAAAATACAAGCATTAAGCAGGTGTTTAATAAAATTAACGGGTAGCTTTTTGAGCATCTACAATTATGGGTTTGGGGTTCTCCTCAAGGTAGTCAGGCTCCTGGCAACAGCGGGCAAACAGGTTTGGAGGTAGCATCAGTAGAAGTGATTGTGAATGTCCCGTTCTCGATTTTATCTCCATGTGTAGTCTTCTTGATGATCTCCCAGTCATTAGCACCTCAAATCACAGCATCTAGAAACAAACACCCCCTAATCCATGCACATGCAAACTCATGTGCACATGTGTACTGTTTTGTCAGATGTGCTCCTGGCTGTAGTGCATTCATCCTGTTGGCTTCTTTAATCTCTCAAGCATTCTGGTGTGAGAATTCTTTTCATTGTTTGATACCCTGAAGAGAGGAGTTGATTTGTGGCAACCTACTACCGTACATGTAAATATCTTATACAGACGTTAGATTTAGGATGTCCTGATGAGGCTTAAGAACAGGTCTCAAAAAATAAATAGATAAAAATTAAAAAATTAAAAAATTAAAAAATAAAACAGGTCTCCTTGGAGGGAGTGGCTAAACAGAAGGCATCTCCCCAAGAGAGCGCTCAATGCCAGTGTCCATCATCTGTGGATGGAGCAGGTCCTCATACCGGAAACAGGAATCTGAATTCTGTGCTAATGCACAGAAAAGTCTTACTTCTCCCAGACCCAGCCCTCTAAGGGTTGGACTTAGAGGAAAGGTGCCAGGTGAGTGCTTTTGTGTGGTAAACACCAGAATGGAGCCTCAGCAGGAAGGCAGGTCAAAGGTCCATTTTGTTCAAGCCTTGGAGAGTCGGCCACATCTTGTAAGCAGATTATGTTCTTTGTTATGCTCTTTCTTTCTTTGTTTTATTACCCTGGGCTTTGGTAAATTCTGATTGAAATGTTCCAGCCTTGCGGTAGTTAGGATCGCTGTTTTAAAAGGAAACATGTAGAAGCCAAGGTGTTAAAAGGGGAGCAGTGCCCCCCTGAGGCCAGCTCAGCCTGGCAGCAGTAACCAGTGAGATCCCCAGGGGACTGTGCAGCGTCTGCGGAGATCCTCCTTCCTGCACCGTTCCTGCAACCTGGGAGTTGGGACAATATGGGGAAGGCCATCTTCCTCATTGTATAGTCTTCACAATTTCTTAACTCCTTTGCAGATAAGCATTCTTCCATAGTAAGTGTGAGATGATAGTGTGTAGAGTAGGTGTAGGCAGGAGTTTCTGTGACCTCAAGCAAGTTACTTGACCTCTCTGTGCTTCAGTTTCCCCAATGATCAAATATATATAATTGTACCTCTCTGAAATGATGTATACAAGGATGAAATAGGTTAATATATAAACATATCTGCCCCAGCGCCTGGCTTATACTACATCCTCAGTGCAAGTTTCCTGTTGTTACTAGAGTACCTTGCCAGACTAGTTTTTTATCAGCCTGACTATTGGGACAAAATGATCTTCTTTCCTGGGTCTTCTGACTCCCTGTAAAATTAGTAAACTGTAGTAAAACTCTGGACATCAGCCCGTAGGACCCTAGTGCTAAGCTAGGCACTGTGAGAACTCCCAAAGAATTTTGCAACATAGTTCTTGTCCTCTGGGTGCTTACGAACACATCTGAAAAGCCGATGGGGGTTTAATGGTGGCTACCCTGCGTTAATAGCCTTGATGACGTTGGGCAGGGTTTTTTTTAGCCTTGCTAGACCTCAATTTGCTCTTCTGCAAAATGGAGATTATAATAGTAACCACCTCATAGGGTTATTATGAGAACTAAATAAGTTAATAATAAAGGTGCTCACCACAGTGCAGACATATGGTAAATGCTGGTTGTTAGTGTGTGCTACCGTGCAGCAGTGTGTGGATGATGAAGTGTGGACAAGAGCGGGGCCCCGGGGACAGAGCAGAGGTCCCAGGAGAGGCCGTTGTATGCTGGAACAATGACAGCATCTTCGCGAAGGAAATAAGACTGGAGCTGAGGCTGTGGGTTGGGCAGGATGGGGACAGGCAAAAACAAGTTGAGAAAGGAATAGTATTGCCAAAAACACTAAGAAGGAAATTGGTGGGGACATTTGTTATTACAGACTTTCTTATTAATTCCAGCATGACAGAACCCCCTTTGAGAATTGCAATGTGTCATAAATGGATTTAAGTGCTTACTGAATATTTTCGGATTTGCAGAAGAGACAGGACTGTGTGGCTTCTCCCTGACAGTGATCTCATGTCAGTTTCTAGAATTCTACAGAATTGTTGTAGAATTCTGTTATGTAGTCGGAGGGGGAAAATGGAAGAATCTGTAGCTGGAGGATCCTATTCTGACAGCAGACGGCTCCCTCACATACAGGTAAGAAAAGAAGCACTGTGGTCTACCTAGGAATCATTTCAGTCCTTCGTGTGGTTGCCACATATTGCATATCATGGAGGCTGAATTTGGAAGTAATCCTTTGCATTGATTTTTTTTGTATGAAAGATGATATTAAAGCGGCAGGAGGAGCTTCCTTCCTAGGAGCTATGCTTACCTCTGAGGACAACAACCTGAGTATTGTTCCTTCTGGGAATGAAAGTCACACCCTTGGCAGGACGTACTCCCTTCGTTCCCTCACAGAGGTTGCTATTGAGCCTTAACAGCGCCTCACTTACACCCGCTGTAGACAGCACAGACTTGGGCTTCCAGCCATTCCAACATTAGAGTACGATTTTAGTGACAGCACTGGTCACACACGGGTACTTTCATTTCACCATTTCTTGGTACTTAGACTCCACAGACCTCAGCTGCCTCTCACTCAGTAGCAGAAGTGAAGTACTACTCTCTTTTCCACCCAGAGACCTCCTGAAACCCACACTTGGTAAACCCCACTCCATCCTGGTCAGCTTGGCACAGTTTCCCATACTGTTTCTCCACATCAGGTTGACCTTTGTTAGTGTCCTCTGCTCAGGGTACTGCTGGAGAAAGAAGGCGAATGGAGCAAATCTGGGTCGTGGAAGATTTAAAATAACAGGATTGCTGTGTTGGGAGGTTAGGACTCCTCGGCTTCCAACTCCTCCGCTTTCTATGGTTTTCTAAAACGCGGAAACAAGAAAAGTTACCTGGTCCATCAGTTCCACCTTTGCCTCCATAGGCCAGTCTTAAGCCTCCCTTCCCGGCACATACGCTGTCAACGATCTTATTTATTCCAATGGCTGCACCCGGAATGTTCTATGTAAGCTAGGCTGGGGCAGCAACATACTGGAAGGAGCTGAGGACCTGTCTAGAAGCTATATTGACATAGCCCACTGCTCTGTCTACTTCGATGTATTTACTGGGGAAGTAGGGAATCTAAAGCGCTTGTCCTGAGCCACCCCTTGGTTCCACTACTGCGTTGAGCTGCTTGGCCTCCCTGCCCAACATGGTAATTGTGAAGTTTGTTTCAATGAGAAGATGGAGAATATGAGGCTGGAGTGTTGTGAGCAGGCGTGTCCCCACCACCGCACACTCTGTTCTCACCTCAGTCTCTTCAATCCTTCTTAGCCTTTATGGAATCATAAAACTCCTTGAGGATCTGATCAAACCACGACCCCTGAAAAAAGTGCCCATGGACATAATGCTTTGGATATAGTATCAGGTCCACACAGCCTTAGAAGCTCCCTAGCACCTCTGATTAAAACTCTGCCTTAGAAAAAGATATTTTTCCTTAAAAAACAAAAACAAAACACACAAAAAACACCTAGCCACTTTGCCTGCTATATCATATTCTTTCTCTCTTTATGAGATTTTTTTCCCTACAATAGCTGTTAGCACTTCCCTTTTTTTTAAGATATATATATTTGGGCGCCTGGGTGGCTCAGATGGTTAAGCGTCTGCCTTCGGCTCAGGTCATGATCCCAGGGTCCTGGGATCAAGTTCCGCATCGGGCTCTCTGCTCCTTGGGTGCCTGCTTCTCGCTCTGCCTTTCTCTCTCTCTCTCTCTCTCTCTGTCTCTCATGAATAAATAAATAAAATCTTTAAAAAAAAAAAGATATATTTATTTATTTGTGAGAGAGCATGCAAATACGAGTGGGGGGAGGGGCAGAGGGAGAGGGAGAGAGAATCCTCAAGCAGACTCCCCACTGAGCACAGAGCCCGAGGTGGGGCTCTATCTCACCACCCTGAGATCATGACCTGAGCCAAAATCAAGAGTGGGATGTTTAACCAACTGAGCCACCCAGGCGCCCCACTGTTAGCACGTCAATTTCTAACCTTGTTCCAGGATCTCTCCCAAGAGCTTTCTGTACATCAAATAATTTAATCATCACAAGAACCATATGGTGGGTAGGCACGATTGCACAGATTAGAAACGTAAGACTCGTGGAGTTTAAGTAACTTTTCCAAGATCACACAACTGTTTGTGTACAAAGCCTTAATCTATCTGTATGTTTCTTTTCGGGGCATACTCAACTTGTAGGCTTAGATGAGCAGATGTTATCTGAAAAGGCCATGTATTAATTTCCTAGAGCTACAGTAACAAATTAACATGAATGAAGTGATTTAAAACAACAGAAATTTATTCTCTCACAGCTATGAGAGGTCAGAAGTCTAAAAATAAAGTTATCATCAGGCCACACTCGCTCTGGAAGCTCTAGAGGAAAATCTGTTCCTTGCCTGTTCCAGCTTCTAGAGATTGTTGGCATCCCTTGGCTTGTAGCTACCTCTCTCTCTTTTCACAGTGTCTTCAATGTGTGTCTGTTATCTTCCTTTGCCTCTCTCTTATAAGGATACTTGGAATAGTGTTTAGGGCCCACCTGGATAAACCAGGGTAATCTCATCTCAAGATCCTTAACTTAATTACACCTGCAAAGATTCTTTCCAAACAAGATAACATTGATAGGTTCCAGAGATAAAGGGCCAAGACTGGATGATAATATATGTAAACAGTTTTTAAATGGGTGAACGACAACACCTCAAGAATACTGATGATAGATTAACGTCAGCCTTGAGAGAGGTTTCCAAAGCAGTGTTTCCCAACTGTGGCTGCACACTGTAACACCTGGGCATCTTGGAAAAATATCAGCGCCCGGAACGTGTACCAGGCCAGTTGATTCAGAATCTCTGGGAGGGGGCTTGAGCGCCAGTACTTTTCCAATGGTCCTCAAATTAACAAAAGATAGACCAAACATATATACAGGAAATGACAAAATATTATTGAGAGAAATTAAAGAACTAAGTAAATAGAAAGATACACCACGCTCATGGATTGAAACACCCAATATTATAAAGATGTTAAAAATTCATCTATAGATTCTTTTTTTTCATCTATAGATTCTAATTGATCTGTAGAAACCAGCAAAAATCTGACGAATATTTTTGTGAAAATTAATAAAATGATTTTAAGTTTTATATGGAAGGACAAAGAGCTAAATAAAAATAACTGATATAATCTTAAAGAAGAACAATGGGTACTTTGTTGTTACCAAGATTTATTATAGAGCTACAGTAATTAATACAGCATGGTATTGATGCAAAGATGGATAAAAGATTGGAACACACAATCCAAACAGGCCAATAACAACACACTTACACATACTTGACTTGTGACAAAGGAGACACTGAAATGTGATGAGGAAAGAATGCCCTTTTTTAATAAATGGTGCTAGATCAACTGGATATCCATATGGGAAAGAAAAAAAAAGAACATTGGCTTCTACTTCACACCAAAGATGAACATCAATTCATAGTATTGTGTGGATCTAAATGTGAAAGGCAAAATAATAAGGCTTCTAAAAGGCAACTTAATATATCTTCATGACTTGGGAGTAGGCAAAGCTTTCTTAAACAGAACACAAAGTGTGTTAACCATAGAGAAAAAGATTGATAAATTAACTTCATTAAATTTAAATGTTTGAAATTCCCTGTTATACCTGCTACCAATGTCTTATGATAGATTTCTCAGTTCATATTTTATTCTTGCTTTCCAAATTCCTCACCCTCCTCCGCTTTCTTTATCTCTTTCAGGCTTTGTTCTCATCACAAAGATTTGATCCTACCTTTGATCAAAATAGGCTTTTCTCATAATTTATTCTTCATGTCCTTGTTTGGGGAATTTCTGTAATGTTAAAGAGTTTCTTATTTGTTCTACTGAGCCAAATAACTTATTTTTACCACATTAAAAACTTGGATTTACTAGTGATAAGAAAATCGTGGTATATCCATACAATGAAATACTAATCAGTAATAAATGGGAATGAGCTACTGATATACACAGCATGGATGAATCTCAAAACAATTATGCTACCTGAAAGAAGCTACACAAGCAAAAAATACATGTTGTGTGATTCCATTTATTTAAAAATCTAGAAAATGTAAACTAATCTAATTTTTAAAGATTTATTTATTTATTTATTTGAGAGAGAGAGAGGGAGAAAGGGTAGAGGGAGAAGCAGACTTCCCGCTGAGCAGGGAGCCTGAAGCAGGGCTGAATCCCAGGACCCTGGGATCATGACCCGAGCCAAAGGCAGACGCTTAACCAACTGAGCCACCCAGGCGCCCCACAAACTAATCTATTGAGACAAAAAGCAGATCAGTGGATGTCTGAGATGGGAGCACAAGGGAGGAATGAAAGGAAGAGATTACCCTGGGACAGGAGGGAACTTTGGGGGCAAGGGGCTGATGATATATATGTTCATTACCTTGATTGTGGTTATAGTTATAGAGTTATATGCAGTTTATTGTATTAGAAGTCTTCAGGAATTCTAATATTGGTAAAAAAAATTATAAGTATCAGTGAATTATGACATTTTTGGTATTTTAAGTCATGTTTAGTATTCAGTCATCAACATAGCTAATCTATTTTTTAAAATGTCTAATACACAAGTGTATCATTGTCCATCAGAATCAAAGACAGAATTTGTATATGATACTGAAAAGATGGGGAATTCCTTGCCAGACATGGTATTTCTTTCATATTAATTACTTTTTCAAAGTGTGTGTCTCTGGACCACTTGAACTAGAATAACCTGGAATGTTTGTTAAAATGTGGAATTTAAGAAAAAAAAACCAGGGGGGTGCCTGGGTGGCTCAGTTGGTTAAGCGACTGCCTTCAGCTCAGGTCATGATCCCAGGGTCCTGGGATCAGGCCCCGCATCGGGCTCCCTGCTTGGCAGGAAGCCTGCTTCTCCCTCTCCCACTCCCCCTGCTTGTGTTCCCTCTCTCGCTGTCTCTCTCTGTCAAATAAATAAATAAAATCTTAAAAAAAAAAAAAAAGAAAAAGAAAAAAAACAGGATCATAGGGGAAGAGAGGAAAAAATAAAACAAGACGAAACCAGAGAGGGAGACAAACCGTAAGAGACATAGGAAACAAACTGAGGGTTGCTGGAGGGGAGGGGGATGGG